AAAAAAAAGAAGACATCAAATCAAAGACAAAATGCCAAAACTTAACGCACTTCTATCAACCGAATGACGTTCTCATGCTTAACTTTGTTGAGAATTCGCAATTCTCGCTCAACATTCTCTTGTCCATTCTGGATCTTCCGCAATCGACTATGCTTGATAATTTTCACGGCACGACGTACCAAAGTGGTTTCGTCCACAATTTCCTCAAAGAGGTGCAAATTTTAGGAGAGATTAGAAAAAATACTCATTTTGCTGTGATATACAATGCTATGTATGCGAAACCATTGTATAGTAGTGCTAACGAAGAAATTTAAATAGGTAATAGAGTACACAAGTTCTAGCTCAAATCCCTACTCACCTTAACTTTAGCATACGATCCTTCACCAATTTTCGCCCCAAAAAGGTAGCCATTGTGAGATTTTGGGCCTTTTTCAGAGAAAACCTCTTCAACAAACTGAAAAGAGTGCTAGAAAATCATCAAATCGTTGCTCTAAGTTCGATTGAGTAGCAATACCTAGTCGCTTTCGACTTACCGATCCCTCATTGAGGGGAGTGAATAGCAATCCCTGCCCAGCTATGATCGACTGTACTCGCTCTGCAGACAAAGCAGCTTCATCATCAAGCTCGGAAAACTAAAAATTCAAACAAATGTAGATACCAGAGATAATAATTTTGGCTGCAAGTAAAAATCTTAAGAAATTAGAAAGAGAATATGAACAATAAGCTAACCATGTTGTTAAGTGTTATCGACAATTTTTAGCCATCCAACAAAGTACAATTGCATAACGACAACTGATGGGAAAAAAGATTTTTTTGGTGACTAACCCCTTCTGACTCCGGGCCATGAAGGTGCCACATATGCATGCTATGTCGAAGATCGTTGATATCATCTTCCTCCGTTGAATCTTCACCTCCAACAGAAAGCTTCTAAAATTTGCCCGATTATTAAACCCTTTATCTCAGCAAAACTGCAAATTCTTCCAAAAACTTGCACCCAAATTCAACA